TTTTTTTTTTTGCCTTTATCTAAATAAACACTATAATTACATGACCTTAGCACAAGGTCCTTTCTTTGGCTTGTAGCCTCTCTTATGCTTCTTGTTTATTCCTGGGCACTTCGTTTTTTAGGTTTCCACATTTTAGAAGGATTCCAGTATTTTCTATCAGTAAAGATTAAGTGACGGGAATGGTGTATATTCAAGAGCTAAGAAGAATGGAACATGTTACAAGTTCTGCGTTTATGTAGTAATATAAATGCTCCCTTATTCTACTGCCTCTAATATGTTCGGTGTCTAATTATTTTCAGTCTGACCTGGTTATTATTGTGGAGGATGGAATCATTTACTCTGGCCCTTAGGACTGCCTGAGAACTCCTTGCCATTTTAGTCATAAAGTTAGGATTTGTTTATTTTTGGTAGTCCGAATCAGAGTACTTACTCGCTTCCAAATGTTCTTTTTACACTTTTGAAGTTTGTAACTCATCATGGCTGTGGGAGTATTGAGGTTGAGTAACTCCTAGATGGTTATGTGTCTGAATTACCTGAATTGGGTTTTATGTAAAATTTAAGAATTTAGTAAGATTTTATTCTTTTTTGAAACGACCCAAAAGAAGAGGTTTGTTTCATTTTGCTTTGAAATGGTTGATGCTATGTGTTTCAGAGTTGGTTAGGAGATTTCATAATCAGTGGTGTAACCAGAGTGGAGTGAAGTCACAATGAAGTAGAACAAATTCCTTTATGTGGGTTAAAGAGCAGAGGACACAAGCCAGTTTCGTCTATCGTTTTTCATGATATAGACCTTGCTGTTTAGGGAATGTAGAGTACAAAATTTAACACACCTTTTGATATCCTGCCAGTGGTTCTAGGATAGGACAGGGAGATCAACTTCTGCAAGAAAAGGGGATTGAAAATTAGTTTTGGCAGTTACTGAATGCCATTGAGTTTCAACCTGCCAGCCATTGTAACTAACACGCATGTTTCACGTAGCGCTAAGAAGAAAGCAATGCAGCCGGTTAACTATGACATCCTGTTAGTTGTGAGATACACCTGACTTGTTACATGCTAGAACTGATGAAATACAGTAATATTTCTCTTTCTGGAGATTTTGAGCATTTACTGGTTTCTTTACAATTATTTCTCCTATCTCAAAATAAAATTCACATATGGGAATATTTTAAAGTTGATGGAATATTAGTAAAATACTGAGATGTCTCAACCCGAGCAATAAAAGAAATGTGCTCTCCAGTCTTCGGGGTAAAAACCTTGCTGTTTGGAGAATGTAAAAGTTGTTTTCCTAATCTACTCTCCTGTAATTTTGTCTATTAACTGTCCTGTTTACTCTGAAAAGTAAAATGGTCTTAAGAATGTTTAAAATTCTGATGAAGATCAGCCGTGGTATCTGTTACTCTCTTTAGGTTTTACAGCTGATTCCTTGAAAAGCATTTTCAGGAGGAATTAAACAATTGAAAAACAAGCACTGGGATTTTGTTCATGAGTTGGTTTTCGAGTATCTTCGAAAGAATCTCACTATGTTTATTAACATAAACATTGGGCAGTCTGTTTTGTGTCACGTATTTTTCTCTCTGAGTTTCCCAGAATTATATATTGTGTCATTATCGTCATTTTATAAACCCACAGCTCCTCACTTCCCTCCAGGGAATAGGAGTGTCTTGCCACCATTTTTAGCACCTAAATTACTGCTTCTGTTTCTCAGAAACTCTCCTAAGTCTGTTTCCTCTTTTAGGAAAATATGATTGTTAAGGAATGCGGTGGTGCTCTTACCTTTGAGAGAACAATTTCTACATTTATCCACCTCCTCAGGCTTTTGACCCTCAACTTCAGTGAGGCGGGGTGTTGCTTCTCTACAGTCCAGCAGCAGGAAACTCCTGTTAATCCAAGTTACTGGGAAGCTAACTCAATTCACTTCTTCTATTCATACCTCTCCTTTTTCCTCTTGTTCTCCATTTAGTTTAAATTGACATTTGACACTGGTGTAAAAAGTCTAGAATCTCTGGGTTAAAAGGGCATTTTTGATGTTTCTTGGATCCAGGCACTCCTTAGATGTTTCAGCTTGTCCACAGCACCCTTAAAGGTGATCTTCCAACCTAAAGGCGGTGGGGTTGGGATTCAATCCCCAAAAGTGAACCGACAGACAGCCTTCTCCCTCTTTCTTTTAATTCATGCTGTCCTCATTAGATAGACCAAGATAAACCGGTGACACTGCTTCCTATTCATTCCTTGCAGAGTTGTGAAAAGCAGTTGGGTGACACTTGTTTTGTCCTTTAACATAGATAGATAGATAGATAGGTAGGTAGGTAGAGCAAAATACACCCCGGTAAAATCTTTAATGGCATAACCAAGCTGACTGGCGTATGTAAATTGTATTTTGACTATTGCACAGTTTGTTTTATTATTTGTTTTATTTGAGAGAGCGTGCAGGTGCACAAGCAGGGGAGGGACAGAGAGGGAGAGAGGATCTCAAGCAGGCATCATCGGGGAGCCAACGAGGGCCTCAATCTCATGACTGTGAGATCGTGACCTGAGCCGAAATCAAGAGTCAGATCCCCAACCGACTAAGCCACTCGGGTGCACCCACAGATTCTGTTTTATGAGAAAATAGTTGAAGACTGAATTTTAGTATGATTGGAATTCCTTTAATCTGGAGTGGTTATCAAAGATCATCAGCAGTAAACGTTTAACATTCTCACATTACCTACTTACCCATCTGTAAACTCAGAAGACTTTTAGAGATCTGTGGTTTGGCCCTGGGATATAGTATATATTTACTATCCTAGATGTTTGCTTTATTTATCTAGGGAAAGATTAAACTATTTAGTTGCTTTTGTTAACAGTCCTACAAATAAATGTCCTATGGGGTTCCTTCTGATTTTCAGAACAAGTAAAATCTGAAAATAAACACACACACTCCAAAGAATCCAACCAATCAAACCAACAAATGACACCAACAAAACAAAACAAAAAAACACAGGGGTTTCTAAGCTATAAAACATGGGTAGAATTTGCTTCCTGGATGAAGTGTAGAATTAAAGAGGATTTCTGGCCCTGAAATGACTTGAGGGGGAGGCAGTAGATACCACTGGATTTGGCCTTTTTGCTGGGGAAATGGTAAACTTCTGATTTGATTTCTTGAGAGAAGGCTTCAAATTGTCCTAACCTCAGTCCCTGAGGGCCATGGCTGTCTGACAAGAATGGGTAGTAGAATGCAGTTTCTAGAGTAAGGCTGAGATCCCTTTTCTTTTCTCTCCTGTAGAATACATTTGGTCAATTTTGTGGAACCTGTGAGCCTCAATTACTCCATGTTTATTCCCACCTTGCTGAATCAGGGCACCACTGCTCAGCAAGAGAAATGGCTGCTCTCCTGCAAAGGATTGGAGATAATTGGCACCTACGCCCAGACGGAAATGGGCCACGGTTAGTCCACATTTGAGGGTCCGTGGGTAACCCACCTCAGGACTTAAAATTGACAAATGACCCCTGGTGTTCGTCTTTTCCTGCTGCTACCCTTTTGGGATTTGGTCTTTCAGATGTCAAACCTTAAATAAAATCCAGCTTCTTGTTTTCTCATAGGTCATTTCCCCATAAATGTGCCCAGGACTCTCATCCTCCACTGTTCCTTCTGAAAGCCTTTTTACCCCTGCTTCACGTGTACCCCATTTTAATGACTGTTGAGCAGTTTGGAAAGATAGGATTGAAACATGGCAAAATTGTGTTGGTGTCTATTATACAGATAGAGAAAATGTGATACTTTGTTGGAAATTCTTGTGAGTGTTAATGGCTCAGCAACATCTGGAAGTTGCCTCTCTGCTTTAATGAAGCTGGAGATGCTGATTTTCTGGGCGGGGCAGAGGGTTGGAGCATTTAAGTATCTTAATCTTTCTTCCATTGCCTGCTAGCTGGGCTGTAAGGCAGTTTGGGGAAAGGTTCAGGATTCTCTGCATTTGACTACAGTAGTCTTTCTTTCTTTTTTTTTTTTTTTTTAATGTTTATTTACTTTTGAGAGAGACAGAATGCAAGCAGGGGAGGGTTAGAGAGAGAGGGAGACTCAGAATCCGAGGCAGGCTCCAGGCTCCGAGCTGTCAGCGCAGAGCCGGATGTGGGGGCTTGAACTCACGAACTGTGAGATGGTGACCTGAGCC